GCTCTAGAGTCAGACTAACCTGGATAAATCCCAACTGTGCCACCTACTAGCTATCAACTCTGAGTAAGTTACTGGCCTTTTCTTCCTGGAAAAAAAAAAATTCATAAAAGCAGTATCGGGCTTCCCTGGTGGCGCAGTGGTTGAGAGTCCGCCTGCCAATGCAGGGGACACGGGTTCGTGCCCCGGTCCGGGAAGATCCCACATGCCGCGGAGCGGCTGGGCCCGTGAGCCATGGCCGCTGAGCCTGCGCGTCCGGAGCCTGTGCTCCACAACGGGAGAGGCCACAACAGTGAGAGGCCCACGTACCGCAAAAAAAAAAAAAAAAAAAAAGCAGTATCATAAGGTTTCTGTAAATATTAAATGATAACATGTACGCATATCCCTTGGCACACTACCTGGAATCAAGGACTCAATTCAGGTGGTTATATTGTTGTTTTTAATAAGAAAGCAGCTTATGGTGAGGAGAATAGTTAACTGGCACCATAAACAGTAATTAGTAGATGCTAAGTCATTATTTTCTTTCATCAGCAAGAACCTTCAAGAAGCAAGGACTACAACTCTTAAAGAGAGAATTGAAATAAAATGTGTACAAGCATAGGCCCAATAAAGTGCTGTGGGACACAAAGAAAGGCTGATTCTGTCTGGAAGAGACTAAAAGGCTTCAAGAAAGAGGTGACACTGGACCGAGGGGGAGTCTGATCAGGCTCACAGAGAGTGTAGGAGAGGAAAAACTTTTCCTCTACCCTCTTACATTTAGTGACTGGGGCCTGTGAATTAAAGTAACAAAAGACAGATTAACAAGAGAAAAGGTTTATTTCATATGCACAAGGAGGGGGCCTCACAGAAAAGACATGTGAGCTTATATACCCTTTAAACAAAGGTCAATAAATTGTGGAGAAATGATAAGACAAAGAAAAACAGGTTTGATCTTCTTAGGGACAGTAAATTGTGGGAAGGTAAACGTGTGAGGGAAACTAATGGAAGGTAAAGGCTATTTAGTAAGGTTTATAAGTAAGACTCAAGTCTGTATAACAAACCTTACTAAATCTTACAAAAATCTTAAATTAAATATTAAAAATGAAATTTAAATATCACTAATCTTTAGTAGTAAGAGTCTAGTCATCTCTGGTGATTAAGAGTCGTCCTCTTCTTCCTGGTACAGGAGACAGGAGGGGAACACCTTCAGAAAGGGAAATATATGCCCTGATTTTAGGCAGAAAGGAGGAGAGCATAGAATTTTTTTCTATATCTGCTGTTTCTTAATTGCCTTCAGTTCAAAATAATCTTTATGCCAAAGTGGCTTATGGGGGGTGGTGACATATTCTGATCCCCCCAAGAGCAAGGTCATTTCAGACAAGGGAACAGTTTAAGCAAAGGCTTGGAGCTTGAGTTGTGTACAGCATGGATGGGAATAATGAAAACTTTGATAATAGTTAGAACCGCAGGCATGTGAGTGGAAGTTCCAAGGATGAATCATTACTAGAAGAGAAGTTAAAAAGGCAGAAATAGATAGGCATCAAATTGTTGTGGGCTTTGAATGCCATGCTAAGAGTTTGGGCTTCACCTTTGGGCCAGTGTTTCTCAAGATGAGGCCCATAAATTGTCTACATTAGAATAACCTAGAATGTTTATTAGAAAAGCAGGTTCCTGAGCTCTATCCTGAATTTACCAAAACATAATCTCTGGGAGGGATGCCCAGGGATCTGTATATTTCACAAGTGTTGCACACTAAAGTTTGAGGACCATTGGTATAGATGATGGGACCCTTTGAAGGCTGAAAACAGTTGAAGGTTACAGTAAAAACTGTGATTTAGAAACAGACAGCTGTGTGGACAATGTCTTGGATGGGGTGGGACCTGGAGGCAAGCAAGCAAGGCCAGAGGACCCAAACTGAGCTACAGTAGAGGTACTGAGGGCCTCAGGCCAAAATACGAGGCACCCTTATAAGGAGGAGGTGGTTGGCTAAGGGGATGAGTCATGGAGACTTTTAGACCTTTCTGAAGAAACTGAAGAGCGAATGAGTATAGCTAGACATCAAACAGGGATGTGTAACCAGTGGTCAGATTTGCAAGGGCTTTTAAGAACTCTTGTTAGAACCACTGCTTTCTGGGAAATTTATGCAGGCAAGTGACAAGATACTATCTTTTTTTCAGGGGGATGGAAGCAGCCAATGGCTGTAAGTGACAAAGCTTCACTGTCTTTATCTAACCAACAAAGAATCCATCAGAAATCCCACCAGCAGACCTGTCAGACTAAACAACAGAGGAAAATTGATATGCCCCTCACTGTATGCACTAGAAAAAGAATGAGAGAACAAGAAAAGCTCATTTTGCCCAATAATATGTATATTATTCCTGACCCCAGGAACAGCCAGGCTTTAGAAATAGAAAAAAATAGGAAAAAATTGGAAATTGGGAAAAATAATAAAGGAAAATAAAGATACTTTTCCAAAAGTAAGGCAATCCAAGGCCAAAGCTAGAGAGGGCAGAACTTTGAGATAAAGCAGCTCTTTCCTAGTTCTGCCTCTGTTCTTCCTGAATTCTCACCACTTTTTCCAGCCACCCAGCTCTGCGCATGTATTTCATTAGAATATGAATGAGAAGCCCTTTGGGAGAATTTTATGCTGTCATGGCAACGGTCGCCATGGCAACCCTTAATTAATTGGATGCTGATGAAGTAGAGGAAGAAAAAAAGCCAACCAGAATGGATACAACTCTAGAGGCAGTCATGGTGTGTAGTAATTATATGAATTTCATTCAGCAAAATCATGTAGCAGGTCAGAAATGCAAATATCTCCTCCGCAGCCACCACCTACTAGGAGAGGCCGGTTTTCAGAACAGACGCATGTGAATGGGTGACTGGGGCCCTGACAATTCCAAAAAGGAAAAAAGAAAAAAAACCACCACATATGGCTGCCCCAGCCTAGGCAGATTCCCCAGGGAGATAAACTCATTCTAATATGGGAGTGAGTCGATCCTACTGAGAGTGGTCACAAGCAGCAACCATAGCCGATAACTGTTGCCTTCATGCCCTCTTCACGGCAAATGGTACCAACCAGGCAGGAAAATAACGAAATATGACCCTGCAGAGCTGTTCAGCTATGAAGTGTCTTCTGATGGAGGGATGCGGAAGTTTAGTTTGTCACCACCATCTCGAGATGGCTCCGTGGTTCCTGCACACACACAGATGGCTCACAGTTCAAAAAGGACACCAGTCTGAGGGTGGGAGAGGAGGATCAAAAGAGGAGGGGTCCTGAAAGAGACTGCCACAAGTCAGCTTTCTCTGCAGAAAGCAAAGTGGAGGTGGGGTGGGACCTAGCTAAGGAATACCTTGCTAAGGTATTTTCTCCAGTACTCTCCTCCAACCCTCACCCCACCTCAAGTCTATCTCCTCAATTATCCAAATTATAGGCAGACCTCAGGGAACTGGGGAATTGATTTCCTTGTATGTTTCTCCTAGAATTTTCCATTTCACCTGCCTGTTGAGGTTAAACCAGAGTAGTTAGGAAATGTTGAGCATAGCTAAGAAGCCCTCCCACTGCACCCCTCCTTCCTAGCTCTAACCAAGAAACCTTGGCAAACGGTACCCAAGGCACTGACCTTGACACCCGCAGGCAAGCTCAGACCCCCCAACTCCAGATTCTGTGGGGCTTTCTACAGCCCTTCCCAGTGGCCAGTATTTCCAAGTTTCATAAGTGTTTGGAGTGTTTGGAAATGGGATTCTGAAAGCAATTCCTTGAGCTGCAAATTCAGCCACAAACTGGTGTAGTGAACACGGAACCCCACCCTGACCTCAGGGAGCCATGTCATTTCCCTGTCTCAACAATAATCTGAAAAACCCACGCCCTTCTCACAATCACGTCAGGCTCAAAAAGTACAACCCACTCTTGTTTTCACTCGTATCATTGTTATTATACAAAAGCCCCTTATTGTGTAGAACACTGGACCAGGTGCCTCCCAGACGTGTCCCTTACTTCTGCCTTCAAAAATTTGACAAAGACCAAAATGACTTAATTCAGAAACACTTTCTATTCATAAAGATGTTTTCGAGAGAAAAACAAGACCTGTGTGTAAGCCCCTCTCAGAGGCTTACACCAAAATTCTAAGCCACAAAAATGCATTCCAATGTCCTTCTCATTATCAACACCTCCATCTCACTATGTACAAAGCTAATATCTTCAGTGTGAGCCGAGAACAAAGCACACATGATCATCTAAAGGAGGGGCACCTTTTCATTTACTCAGGCAGCCATTCCAAGGGAGTAAATATCCCCTTTTTTCCAGGGAACCAATTACTGTTTTCGCTGATAGAACTGAAGACAGGGTGGAGGAAGGGAGAAAGAAGAAAGGCACACTTGAATCGATGATCTGCTTCCAATAATAATACATGCCATCTGGTCTGACTTTCCTGCCTTACTGACAAATACCCAAAGCACCTAGGAGAAGGAACACAAAAACCAGATTCGTCTGTGATAATATACATAATATACGTAATTTGTGGCTTAAATGATTAACTGAAAAAGTCAATTCAGTCTGTGATAAAGGAAACCATAAATGGCCCCTTGACCTCTGGAATATTTAAAATTGCTGTGAAGATTACCTCATTCTTGTTTCAGAAATCATTAAGGGTTCACCATACAATTTGCAGAATGTCAGGGTTGCTAAGTGGCCATAAAAACTCCGGTAGACTCAGGAAGGGGACTGAATTGGAATGCGAGAGAATGTGGCTACAGGCATCCCTGCTCTATCAGCTCGGAAGCCATTTCACAAAACATTCAGAACAGAGGGACAAAGCACTCCAGGTTTCGGAATAAAAGATTTCATCTCCCTTAAATCTGAAGCCATTTATACAGAATATGTTCAAAAGAGGGCACCTTGCAGAGCCTTTCCTTTTATTAATATCACTGCGATTAATTCAGATCAAACCACTTTTGAATGTTGGAAGATGGCCAAGTGGCCATATTAATTGGTAGTGATCTTAGAATGGTTTAGGTGTCCATACCTGTTTGTAGCATCCTCAGGTCAGCACGTTTATGGAAGGTCGGGGCAAACTGATTTCTTTCACTTCCTCCCAGTCAAGTGCAAATATCTACAAAGATAAAAAGAGGAAAAAACGTGGGCTGATGGGTTTTGGGTTTTGTTGCAGTTTTTTTTTTTTTTTCATTTTAAGGTTACTTTAAAATATATTGCATATATATTATATTATTATATGTATCATTATTGATATATGCTATCAAAAAAATCAAGGTTCTATTCCATATAAAATATAACCCACTAAAGCAATCTACTTCTTCCGAATCTGCGCATTCAACATTTTTCAGTGCTTTTACCCTAGATGAGTCAGAAGACCCATGTTTGAATCCTGGCCCTACCACTCCCTCCAAACTCATATAAGACACTTAACCTAGTTTAGCTTCAGTTTCCATACCTCTCAAGAGGGGTACTTAGGCAATTTATGTGGTGCTTAGAAATTCAAATGAGATCATATATATATATATGAGACCATATGTATATATACATTCATGCATACACCCACTCACATATGTGTATACACATACATACCTATGTACACACACACACTGACACACACATATGTGCAGGTACACTATGTAAATGTTGAGGCCATGCCCTGCATGCAGCAGGACAGAGGTAGATAAAGCACAGTCCCTGCCTTCAAGGAGCTTACAGTCTACTGTGACAGTTCCTTTGTTTACTGTTCTTCTTGCCTACCTGCTCTGTGAACTGCACCCTAGTAACCCATCCTTAAAAGTCAAATTGCTTTCCTCTAATGCTGAATGCTGGCGTGATTATGGAATCAGTTTGGAGAATTCTTGGAGACAAGGATCCTCTCAAGTTCAGCCTTGTCTTTTTGCTGAAACTCTTCATTCCACATGATCAAGCAGTAGGTTCTGCATTATCCCCTTTCCCTACACCTCTCCAACACTGTCCTCTTTTGCCCACCTATAAAAATACTCCCTCGGGCTTCCCTGGTGGCACAGTGGTTGAGAGTCCGCCTGCCGATGCAGGGGACATGGGTTCATGCCCCGGTCCGGGAAGATCCCACATGCCGCGGAGCGGCTGGGCCTGTGAGCCATGGTCGCTGAGCCTGCGCGTCTGGAGCCTGTGCTCTGCAATGTGAGAGGCCACAACAGTGAGAGACCCGTGTACCGCAAAAAAAAAAAAAAAATACTCCCTCCTCTGAAATTCATGCTTCCCAGTTCTATCACCTTTGACCCTTTCTTGTACCCTCTTCACACCCCTAATTCACCTGAGAACTTTAGTATCTTTCTCCTGGTCTCTCTCTCTCCTTTCCTCTTCCTGTCATTATCCTGCAGTCTCAGTGTCGGAGAGAAATGACCCCAACTAACAGTCTGGCTGCAAATTTCCTCGATCTCTTGAACTCAGTGAGATTCTCCTACTCTCACACATTATCACAGCCATACCCTTGACCTGCTCGTCATGGAAAACACGCCCGTATCTGCCCCAAACTAGCATTCCTTCCAGCCAGCTTATTCCCTCAGGTCTGTCTTCCTTCTTGTTATTACATCCCATCAAGACCTTCCATTCTCAGCTGTTCTCTTTTCTACCAGTCCGTCACCTCTCTTATTATTTCCCATCCTTTCTTATCCAACCTAGTTTCCATAAAGCATCTCTTCAACTCCTTTTGCCAAAAGGCTCAACTCACTTGAACTCCTTCAAGTCCTGCACTTGCTGCCGAGTAATCCTGCAGGAAGGCATGTAGGAGTGTAAGTTGATGCCACTGCAAGCTTAGGTTCTCCCACAGCAACTGAGTCCGGAGTGACTCTTACCAGTATTACCTTCCCTGATCACCTCTCTCTCCCATTCCCCCACAGCAGCTATTCCAAAACTTCACCACTTTTTGCAGTCCCCAACCTAACCCGTGTCCATCTCACTTTGCAAATTAACCAGCAGCTTACTTCACCAGGAAAACAGAAGCTATCCATAGAAAACTCCTTCAACACACACCTAGCCACGTATAACTTACCTACATCTACATTAATTCTCATATTTCTTCCTAAATCTAGGGGAGGAAATGTGTTTTTTAATTTAAAACCTCTTGTAATATGGAAACTTATCCCATAAGGTCATTCTAATCTCTCCCATATTTTTAACCTCTATGTCTTGATCATATTTCTCTAACAAAACCCTCCCTCAACCTAGGTTCCCTCTTGCTTTCCCATCTCTCCCACCTGAACAGCCAAACCCTTCAAAAAATAGTCTGCATTTTCTGTCTGCATTTCCTTTTGCCCTCATTACTCTTCATTCAACCATTAAAGTGGATCATCTGTTGGGTGTGTGTATCTCCCTAGGATTTACATTTCTAGGTCAGAGTTCAGCATTTTTTCAGCTTTAATTGCTGTCCAAAGTGGTTCCCAAATTACCAATTTATCCCCCAAGGAACAGTGTGTGGAGTACTAGTTACCCTACATCCTCACCAGTTTTGACATTTTTTATCTCTCATCTTAGCCATTTTGGTGTATATGTATTAGTATTTCGTTATGATTTTAACTGGCATTTCCCTGATGACTAATGACATTGAACAAATTTTCACATGTTTATTGGCCTTTTAGATACCCTCTTTTGTGAAGTTCCTGTTCAAGGATTTTGCCTATTTTTCTTTTGCGTTCTGTCTTTTTTCTTACTGGTTTATAAGAGTTCTTTATTCTGTATACGAGTCCTTAGTGGAATATATGTATGGAAAATATCTTTTGCCGCTCTTTTCACCTACCTTTTAATGTACTTCTTGGTGTCTTTTGGTGAACCGAAATTCTTAATCTTAATCAATATAATACACTTTTTCCATTTATCTATTCCTTTTTCTTTTGTATCCTGTTTTTTTAAAAAAAAATCTTTGCCTACTCCAAGGTCACAAAATACCTATATTGTAAAAGCTGTATTATCTTTCACAATTAGATCAGTAATCCATAGGGAATTGATTTGTGTGTACAGTGTAAGATAGGATATTATTTGATTTTGAATCCCTGGCACCTAATACAGAATTCAGTTAATCCTTAATAAATATCGCCAAAATTAATTAATGAGATAGCATTTGAGAGATATGGAAAGGAAAAGCAAAATTTGGGCCAGGACTGTGTGGCATCACATACCTTCCCTGCGAATACCTTGTGTTCTGGGCTTCCTCACCCCCAGTCACTGCCCACCTGCTACATGGCCAACTTCTAACAGTCAGGCCAACTTCCCCAATCCTTAATCTTCAACCAGAAGCCAAAACCACAGAGTTTTTGTTTTAACCATTAGGATTTAAAAAGTGTTATCCTGGGGAAAATATAGCCACTTCACATTCCAACGTACATGTCTGGAGACTAAAAAGCTTCCAGAAATCTAAAAGTATCTTCAGCCACAAAAAAACAGACTGCTTGGATGGTAAAGTGCTACTTCAAATCTTTTTAAAGTAAGGCATTTTTTATCAAAACAAAGATGATAAAGTACCCTAAATAGAAAGCTAACTGCTTTTCACTTTCTAGAGGTCCCTTTTAAGAAATGTCCAAAAAACCCTTATGATTATATTTCATGCTCCAGGACTAGAAAAGAACTTCACCAGCCACTGTGGGTTGGGCCTGCTTTAATATTAACATGCCCACATTTTACTTCCTGCCGGTCCCAAGTGTTTCCATAGATTCATATTTCTCTCTAAGACTGAAAAGCATGAAAATTCAATATAAAAGATGACAAGATAAGAGAAGGGATGTGATAAAATCTTAGACTTGATCCAAAAAGGAGTGGAAAACCATATTCGGGCCTACCGGAAAAGATGCGATGGCCAGATCAATGGCAGAGAAAATTATTTTGTCAGTGATGATAGAGGTTGATTAGAAAACAATGAATTCCTGATCTAAGGCAGTGGCCAAAGAAATGGAAGAAAGGGCAGTGAGATTGCCTAGTTTAAGAAGACTCTGAGTTTAACCCTGATTCCGTGTACAAAATAAAGGACAGAAAGAGGCCAACATGACTGGAGGCTCCCTGGCTTGAGGCCGCGGGAAAGTGATGGCTCTGCCACCGGAGAAGCGACCCAGGCCCAGGTGACAGTGAGGAGGAAGCCGGGCTGCTGGCAGCAGGTCAGGCACATTGAGTGCTCTGTGGGGCAGACACACATGGAACCAAGTCACCTGAGTCAACTTGGAGGCTGAGAGCTTATTTGAGAACCAAATGAACCAAGACCCAGCTCAGGGTCCTGCCACAGCCAGAGCAGAGGGCACAGGACAGCACACCAGTACTGCAAAGCATTGTTGCTCTCCTACTCGTAACCCAAGCGCATGACAAGGTGACAAAGGGATTTAGATGGCAAGGAGAACTGACTCCTATAGCCTGATAGATGTGCACTGTGATTAATCAAGTTGCCTCAAACTTTTCAACAGTCGGAAGATGTGGATTCAAGTTCAAACTCTGGCCCTTATTAGCTGGTAGGACTTTCGTCAAGTTGTTCATTTCTATAAGCCTCAGTTTTCTCATCTGTAAAGATGAGCCTATCTGGATTAAAGATCTGAACTCTCTCCTGCTCTGAAACACTGTGGCATTCTTTCCCATTTGCCTCCCAACGGGGCTCAAGTTAATCAGCTCACACCATCATCCATCATTTCTCTGTCTGAGGGTTTATTCCCTAATCAGATTCAGGTAAATTTTCAGCCTGTGTCTGTCTCTTACTTCCAATCCAATAAAACTGGTATGGATTTGTTTTGTATTTCATTTAATGTCATTATTCATTCTAACAGTCACTGCCTAGCCATTTCCTTGCCTATAGCATAATCAGCTATTAAAGCACTACAATGGCATGGTTTTCAAATTTGTATCCTCTTTTTCTGAGCTAGATTAATTCTAAACTGATTAAAATATCCCAGAATTTCAAATACAATTTTTAAAAGGCAACAGATCTCCGAGACTCCCTTATGACTACAACTTGCCAAGGGGGTTGCCAGCTCTTGCTGACTGCCAAGGAAGACAAATAACTAGTCCTGACAGTGGTCTTGAAATGAGAAACAGATGCCCAGTTATTAGTATGACAATGCCACCCTCATCCATTGGCTTCCAGGTCATCCAGGAGGCACCAGG